ACACACAGACAACCTCTCGTCAATATGCGTTTTCTGCATTGCATAGCTGCAGAAAACGCATAAAAACTGAAAGGTTGACGTCCCTCCTCTCCCTTGTGTTTATGAATACGCTACCGTTAAACATGGATGAATAACCTGTTTAAATCCTCCGTCCACTGCCACCTCCTTTTTTTGCCACATTTCGCTGAACTGAACACGAATCTCGGCAAAAGTTTCCGTGATAACGGCAATGAATACGTTCTAAAATTATAAAGTTGCAGACTTTAATATACCGCCAGAGACTGTTGGAAATGTAGCAGCATTTCTAGTTTAGAAACACCGCTATTGGTCAAACGGATAGATTGTTAAAACACCTTTATAAACCAGTGGCGTCCCCAGAGCAAAAAAGTGACTCCTTTTCAACCCTAAACTACGGCAAAAACGTTAGCGCCGGGATGAAACACTGAAAACAATTGGGCTGCACGTGAAGAAATTTAGTTGCTGATTTAAATATGCGCCAGTAAAGTCAGCGTCAAAGCGACAAATTCAAATAAATAAAAGGAAAACGAAAAGTTTAAAAAAAGATGAAAACATTATCTGAAAGTTACAAATTAACTCAGAATTTAAAAATTTTGCGCTGCTAGTTGTAACTAAACAAAACGAAACAAAAGCAAAAAGGAAGAACCACTCCATCCCTGTGTGCCACTTCGTTATGTAGCACTAAACTTGGAAAGCACGTCCTTGCTCTTCGAAAACTGGGTGAACCGAAGCCAGAAACGACGGTTTAGTGGCCAGAATTGTTAAAACATTATAAAAATGCAGTGTTGTTATTTTGAAAATATGGGAAGAAACATGCCTTCACAAGCCAAGCCAGGAAAAAAATAAGAGTGACAAAGTACAAAAATGCCCAATGGGAAGGCAGTGAATCCATGCAGTCATATAAAACATAAACCCATCCTTCTTCAGAAGCCGCCAAATACACGGTGAAAACACTCGCTCCTGCAATCAATGACTACTTTTGAAACTGAATGGGCATTAGCTGTTGCACCTTAAAAAACTTGATATGAACTATACCAAAATTATTAAACATTCCATAAAATCCTTCTTCCTTTGCAGTCATTTTGATTTTTTCACAGATCATATTATCCGGACACTCGTAACCGCCCTCTCCCTTTACGGAGCACATTGTGTCCGGTATTGCAAGATCAGCAATTGTTATATTGGACGGATCAGCGCCTGAAAAGGCACGCATAACCAATCAATTCAGAATCGGAGTAAGCAAATTTGCTTCAGAGCAACAAAATAAGAAAAAAAAAACCTTGGCTATAATGCATCAGGCTTGCCGTTCCGGCCATAACCTTGAAGTAATCAGATTCTTAACTGCATGAATGGTTTTTATACGTTTTTGCATATAAAAACTCATGTTGGGAAGGGGCTGTTTGTGTGTGTGTGTTTCTGTGTGTTCGCATTTTTTATCACCCATTTTCAACTCGAGAACCAGAAAAGCTAGAAAAGAGAAACTTTGTGAGCATGTGCCCATACCCTGCGCGACTGTCACGTCTTAGTACTATCCTCCGCTGACGCCTGAGTGCCGCGTACGGACGCTTTAGAGAATACGCAAATTTTTTGGCGGGAAAGCGATCTCGGCAACCAGACAGAGTAAGGGGCTGAAACTTTGTGGGGATGTTCCCTGTGCATGTGCTATCTAAAGATTTCAAATTCAGCCCCCAGGTGTGCGTGGTGCTCACGTAAGAGCGCATGAAAGTTTTAACAGGAAAATTGCTAGCTCGGGTACCAGGAAAGCTAGAAAGCTGAAATTTTTGGGGAATGTTCCTTGCCCAAGTACAACTTAAATATTTCATATCCAGCCCTCAGTAATGCGTGGTTCTTACGTACAAGCACGTGAAAGATTTGGTGGGAGAATTGTTGACTCGGCAACAAGAAAAGCTGCAAGGCTGAAATTTTAGGAGGATGTTCCTTGTCCAAGTATAACTTAAGTATTTTAAATTCAGCCTTGAGGTATGCGTGATTCTTACGTACGGGCATTTAAAAGTTTTGGCGGTAAAATTTCTTATTGAACAGCTAGGTTACTAAGGAACGACCGTTAAATGAAAATTGTACATTTATTTTATGCAAAACTTGTGGTGATGTATGCTAATAACCGGAAAAAGTATGTGTAAAGCAACAACCATTCATGCAGTTAAAATGATTCGGGTACTTCAAGTCCGATGCAAAAACACATGATCGCCTGGGTTGCTTTACATCTACTCTGTGCGGTCACTAGTGCAAATCATTGTAAATTTTGCGTAAAGGAAATGAGCAATTTCCGCTTAAAGGCCGCTATTTGAAAATGACATAGCTGTTCAGCGAGCAATTTTCCCGCCAAAACTTCCAACTGCTTGCAAATGAGAACCACGCATACTTGGAGGCTGAATTTGAAATGTTCAATTGAAGTTGGACAGCGAACGTTCTCTAAAACTTTAGCTTTCCAGCCCTTCTGGTTGCCGAATTACTAATTTTCCCGCCGAAACTTTCACATGCGCGTAAGTGCGGGCGGAATATGAAATCCTCAAGTTGTATGCAGACGAGAAAAATACCCTCAAAATTTCAATCTTCCAGCTTTTCTGGTTGCACTGTTAGCAATTTTCCCTCCAAGAATTTCACGTGTCTGTGCGTGAAGACTACGTTCAGTCACGGGCTGATTTCGAAATTTTTAATTCACGCACACATGGAAAATACCCCTGCAAAGTTTTAGCTCTCTATCCTGTCTGGTTCACGAAGTCGCTTTCCCGCCGAAAAGCTTGCGTATTTTCTGAGACGTCCGCACTTGGACAGAGGCGTAGCGGATGATAATTTTAAAAGGGGAGGGTCGCAACGAAAAAATTTTAGGCACATACTCCTGAATTTTAGGCACATACTCTTTCTCGAGTTGAAAATAGATAAGAAAATTTGCGAACACACAGACGCACACACAGACAGCCTCCTGTCAATATGCGTTTTTGCAACTGCGTGTATGCAAAAAGACATAAAAAGCAAAAGCCAAGCTGGAGCGCACCAGGCTTGCCGGTTCAATCATGCATTTTTGCGGTAAACTTGCAGATCGCTAATAGCAAGAATTGGGCTCATACTGACCGCGCTTTGGCGTGTTACGGCATACAGGGGAACGGATATCTGTTGGGATGAAGGTTGCATTACGGGGCCGCATGGGTCTCCAGGTACACGATTATCAGTGTTTTGCACGAAACCCGACCGGCTTTCCTGCAAATGCTCGAAAAAACGCAAATTTCATGGAAATCGGAAGAGGATTATTAAATCTACAAAATGCACTCTTTTCTAAGTTTGCGGTAGAGAAAAGTATTTCTCATAACCACTTGCAAGGGATTTCACCTCCAAGCAGAATTAATGCCACACATGAGAGTAGAATATCCCAGCGAAGTTTCATCCTCGCATTTAATTCGATAAGCGAAATAACCGCTTCGCTACAAATATCTTTGAAGTATCCTAAGTCGTGGCGCAAGTGCAAATCGGGACTTAATTTAGGTATACGATTTTCCACATGAACAATAAATATGCTGACAAAACTTTAGCCACTGTTTTCCGGCTGGTTCTTCAGCAGCGCAGCTTTCCTGATTACTGAATTGAAAATGGGTGGCAAAGTCCATTCGCTTCTGAATTCAAACACAAATACAGACGACCTCTCGACAATATGCGCTTTTGCTTGCCGCTGTATGGCAAAAACGCGTAAAAATAAAAAATTTTTATTTAGCATAGGCATTAAAACTGCAAATAAACAAATACCTTTTACAATACAATGATAATCCATTCGCCCAAAAACCTGTATACCGAGGATTGCATAAAGCGCCATAAAAAAGACAAAAAAAGTTGTGACATTCTGCACTTGCTGGCTTGACCGCCTGTAATTAAACTATTGCAAGTCAAGTTTCTTCTATTAAAAGACTTGCAAATATGCATAGTGGCCAGTGGCTGTGTTTGAGTTGTTCACATTTTTGCCACCCGCTTTCAACACAGCACCAGAAAAAATGGGAAGGTGAAGCTTTTGAAACATGCTCCAATCCCGCATGCGACCCTTCATTTTTATGCGTTTTTGCGTAATATGCAAAAACACATATTGTGACGACCCCGGCATGCGTGTGCGTGTGTGTGTGTGTGTGTGTGTGTGTGT